CACACACACACACACACACACACACACACACACACACACACACACACACACACACACAAAAGGAGGTTACAAATACTACTGCGACCCTCGGTGACTTTCGGTGCGAATATTACCAAGGAACAAAAATGGAAGGACAGCAAGAATAATTTGGATTCAGATATGAGCTGTACAGTGAAAGCAGGGAGATGGAGAAGGACGATCACATCTCCCAGACCATGTCACTAGACAGAGGGGCAGGAAAGCCCAGATATCAGTGAGACGAAGGAGGTGAATTTAGGGGCAGTGAGGAGGGGTGCCATTCTCTTGGCTCTAAGCTAGCATGAGAACAGTTTCTTTCTTTTTGTCTTTTTTTTTTGTTGTTGTTGTCGTAAAGCACCGGTTGGGATTATGCAGGCCGTCAAGGCTCCCCATACACAACTGTACAACGATAGGCAGACATGTAGAAGTAGGATATACAACCGTACCGATAAGCGTCACAAGACCTTGACAGTCGGTTTGCAGAGGCAGGGTGTAAGGAAATGTAGACGTAGGGTAAACAACTGCAGGTCAGGCAGAAGTACAATCACACATAATAAATAAGCAGCAACTTGAAGTGCTGTATGTTTCGGTTTAGTCCCTCTTTACAATGGTGAGCAATGGCAAAGAAGCAGTAATGAGCACGGCATACACGCTTGACTCTTCCTCGGCTAGCATGACATCAGACGAGCCTGAGCTTGGATGACCTCTGCTGTGCGCTGCACACCACTGGAAGGAAGATAAGGTGCGGGACACCCGCAGATATCTAGAAGGTTTTAGATCTGTGTCTGCAAGACAGCAGGCAACATTCCCCAAATTGAAGGCATGGGTATTATTACCGCAGCAATCACAGGCGTTCGCAATATTCCAAGCTACTGGCTACAGCCTGAAGCTAGCAAGTTGCACTGGTACCCCTAGAGGTTTGACGTAATCATTGCCATGCCCGACTGGTTATTCCATAGGGGAGCTTACATAGGGGAACGTTACCATGGCCTGACCTTGTTGTTGGTCGAATAGGTTTGACTACTTCATACCCATCCGCATACTTAGGGGCCCGCCCTGGTGGTGCTATGTTTGAGCTTGGAAGCATGAACACGGTTGTAAAAGTTCAAACATAGCACCATCCCAATAGCACATACTGATCCACATGATGCTAAAAGGCAAAAGCACGATGAATTAAGAAATGTGCAGTTATTTTCCCCTCCACGGGCCTCCAGTTATTTCCCCTCCTTTCAACCACAGTTGCACACCTGCCAACAGCCGACCCCAACCGCCGACCGTTTTGTAGCCTACCAGTGGGACCGACTGGTCGGCGGTCTGCCGACCAGTCAGAAAACAGCCATCCACTGATTCCTTTTCCAAATCTGAGATGGGGGCTGTACTGCGCTTGCTGAGTACAGCCCAAATCCGCTGAGAAACTTTTGGGGTTGGAGGGGGTGATGGGGGGTTTGGGGGCGGGGTATAGGGGTGGTAAAGGGGGTAGTGTTGGGGGGCGGTTTGGGGGGGTGGGGGGGTGTATGGGGGTATTGGGGGCGGGTATGGGGGTGCTGGTGGGGTTATTGGGGGGTTTATGGACTCCCAGGAAAAAAATATGGGAATGTTTTTTTTTTTTTTTTTTTTTTTTGGCCGGGTGCCAATGACCCAGCCGACCGGTCGGCTGGTCGGCAGTTGACCAGTCAAGGGGCGCCGACCGCCGGGGTATGCAACACTGCTTTTGACAATATATCTTTGACTCATGCATTGGATCGAATACAGATTCCAACACATTTTGATTTGGTGCACATGATTGTACTTTCGTGTCAGCGGAAACAGGCACTACATAAATGTCAATCAAGGAGATCACATTTCCGATTCACCTAGTTCATCGGACACAACTACTGTCAGTGTTGTCCTCATTCCACTGAAACAGGCACTACATAAATCGTGTCCGATGAACTGTACCGCAACAGACATGCAATCAAGGAGTTCATAGTTCATCGCACATGATTACTGTTGGTGTTGACCTCTTTCCCACTGAAACTGTCATCCCATGCATTCCCATGTCCTTCTCCTTAGTGTTAGTGCAGACAAGTGTACCAAGCTATCAGGTGAAAGATACACACACACCTCGACGCCAATCAATGCGCCTTGCCGCACTACCTACGAACCATGAAAAATGGTGGGTGCATCTTCCGACAAAAGGTGGCAAGGTGCATAATCCACTCATACATTACCTGTTGCGGCTCCGCCCCCAGAATAAGAAGGAATTGTTGCAAAGAAAATCAAAGAGCATGAGCGGTGTGGTCTCGGTAGTTTGATAGCAACTGACCTGTTGTGTCATAAACACCTTGCGTATCTGTTACCTTCCTTATCACCACAATTTTCCCTTGGTGCGTAAGGAGTACTAAGAACTATTCCACCTTTTTCGATGTCAGGAGATACAAAATTCTTCTCTCAAGAGTCTCAACACCATTGCACATTTTTTTTTATCAACACCATTGCATGCGATATTGCTCGGAAGGGCTCTCCTTTCGGTCTGGCTGTTGCATAGTAGAAGCAACTGCCAGCGTTGCACTGACATCATCCCACGTGTTTGCCTCATATGGAGTAGAGCTTCCTTGATAATCATTTTCAGTACTGAATTCATTATCCGTAAATGAACATACATGAAGGGATGGAGAGGGATTTGAACCCCCGATTTTTGCTATCGGTTTCAAACTCTGTCCCTGTTGTCCCCAAGTGTAGGACTTGGTCGGTGACCATACCTTTTTCTTTTCTTTTTCTTTTTGGGTTAGTCACCGTCAGTGACCATAATGGGTTCGAAAGATCGCGATGTTTTCATATCACCACAGATTGACCTTGCAAAATGCTCACAGAGCGGGGTCTGCAGGGTTATTTTTAGCATTTGTTTTGCATCAGCAATGCCTTTTGCGAGGCTACGCCCGCTTAGCCCCTACGGGCCCTTATTTCTGTCTCTTATACACATCTAGATGTGTATAAGAGCCCGCCCCCCCCCTCTCCCCCTCCTCCACACACACACACACACGTGCATGCACCCAAACACCCACAGGAGTTCATTGTAATTGTGTGTGTGGTTAGCCTGGTATGGATGTCGAAGTGGTCTTTGTTGAGCTTTACTGAGCAGCTCTGATGGAAGCCTTCAACACAGTAAGAAGTCCTACAGTTGGCAAACACTCTTCCCGTACTTGAACACACACACACACACACACACACACACACACACACATATCCATCATCACACACACACACACACACACACACACACACACACAC